AGTCCTGAGGAGAAAGACTTGGGGGTGTCGGTCGAGGAAAAACTCAACGTAAGTTGGCAATGTGTGCTTGCAGCCCAGAAGGCCAAACAGCATCCTGGGCTGCAATCACAAGAAGTGGGGCCAGCAGAGCAAGGGAGGTGATTCTGCCTCTCTGCTCTGGTGAGACACCACCCAGAGTACTGTGTCCAGTTCTGGGGCCCTCAGTATAAGAAGGACATGGAGCAGGTCCAGAGGAGGACCATGAAGATGATCAGAGGCTGGAGCACCTCCCCTGTGAGGACCGGCTGAGAGTTGGGGCTGTTCAGCCTGGAGAAGAGAAGGCTCTGGGGAGACCTTATTGTGGCCTTCCAGTTCCTGAAGGGGTCCTACAGGAAAGCTGGCGAGGGACTTTTTACAAGGGCAGGTAGCGATAGAATGAGGGGGAATGGTTTTAAACTGGAAGAGGGGAAATTGTTTTAAAGTGGAAGAGGATAGATGTTGACTAGATATTAGGAAGAAATTCTTTACTGTGAGGGTGGTGAGACACTGGCACAGGTTGCCCAGGGATGTTGTGGACGCCCCCTCCCTGTTGTGTTCAAGTGTTCAAGGCCAGATTGGATGGGGCTTTGGGCAGCCTGGTCTGGTGGGAAGTGTCCCTGCCCATGGTAGGGGGGTTGGACTGGATGAGCTTTAAGGTCCCTTCCAACCTAAGCCATTCTGTAAGTCTATGATTCCATGTGTCACGGAGACCAATCCCTGGCATGCTGAGCCCATGCTGGTCCTTACCTAGTTTTGGTTTGACAAATCCATTTGTTATCCCAAGGTCATCGGCAGCCACCGTCTCCCCATTCACTACTCTGAGGATAGTGAACTCAGCAGCCAGAGTGTGCATCACGAAGGGCAGGTCTCGCTCACGTACCTGAAGTTGACAACAGGATTAGCTCAAGGTTGTAAGCACCAGAAGTGAGAATACACTGCACTGGAGCTTACATACACTGGGGGCACAGAAAAGTGGACACATCACTCATGCTTGAGCCAGCAGCTGTGTAAGGATAATTACCATCTAGATGTGTGTCTAGAGAAGCACATTTGGTGATATCACTGCAAGTATCAGTAGAATTAAGCATCACAGTGCTTTTAAGACTGTGGAAAGGAGTGTGGAGACTTTTAAGAGGGAGATGTTTCACCTCTTTTCCAGCATCCCTTCAAGAATTCAGCACTGCCTGTTCTTCAGCCTTGTTCTCCAAGAAAATAAAGCTTATGTGGCTGTGCCCTGTGTGTGTGTAAACACGTGCGTGAGACAGGAGGACAGTCTTTCTGTCTATCCCCAAAACAGCTTTGGAGCCTCTTGGCCATCATCAGCCAACCTGACAGCAGACGCTATGTTCCTCTAACACTCAGAAAACCACCGTCTGAGTGATGGTGGGAATGTTGCTAGTGCTACCATTAAGAGAGCCTAACCACAAGGCACAGAGCTCTGAGGAAAGCTGACTTTGGTACTTGTGCTTCTGCTTTAACAACCTGCTCCCAAAAATGTCATCGAAACTGCACAACTGAGCTTTCATCTGGTGGCAGATAACTGCCTGCTCCTCTGATGTCCTCTTACCAGGATGAAGTCCGTCTGATAGGTGGAGAGCATGAACACTGAGATGTTTTGGTCAGCTAGGGGTGCTATTACTGACTTGGCAATTTTGGTCACTCCAATGGGCTGGGAGCCGGAGAAGCCACCTCCACCAGACACCACGTTGAGGGCAAGCCATGTCGCATCGGCCACACTCAAGTGTTCCGAGGAAGGGAGCTCTGCAAAGAGACAGAGGGGGAGGACAGAGGTTTGTTTTAGAGGCAGAGAAAGCCAGGTCCACCACCTGGTCCATGTGTGGTTAGCACAGACCTCGGTGCGAGGAACGAGATAAGCTCACTTATCCAGCCAGCCTCCTGGGCTTTCTACACTGCTTCACAGGTTGGCCCTGTGTCACTTTTTAGGTATACTGATTGTATCAACTTCCACTGCAGGATTCATAGAAATGTTCAAGGAACACAGGGAATTACATGAGCCTCAGGCATTCACTCGGATGCTGGTGATCAGCACTGCTGACTTCCCCATGTGGAAACAGCCTGAGGTTCTGACCTTGACTCGAATCTCCTCTACCACACAATTTCTATAAATACTTCACTTGAGCTTTTCTGGTCTCTTTTGTTTCCCTTTTCCTGCTCTAAACCCAAATTTTGTTCTCCTGGACTTGAGATGGAGGTTGACAGAGCAGCCTAGGCACTAGCCCAAGGTGTGGGAGATGCAGAACAGGTACCCCATGCATCTGTGTGCTGCTGGCTCATCTCTAAAGCAGAAGACAAGAGCCACACAGCATCTGATGGACGGCGTAACACACACACTAGGGATTACAAGGTGATCACTTCCTAAGATAATGGAAATCTTTTTAAGAATAACTCCATTCCCATTTCATTTGCTTTTAGTCTTACTGTCGTTAAGTAGTTAAAAATCTGCAGCTAAACCATTTAATACAAATTATTAACTGCTTTAAAGAAACCTTAATATATTAACAGCCCATAGAACCAGTTGCAGACTCTGGAATGAAGGCATAAACTTCCCTAAGATTCTCTGGACTTTGGATTTTGGTTTGGCAAGTTACAGAAACAAACAGTTCAGATCCAGATCCAGACTTACAAATACATAATCCCAGTTAAATCTACTTGGCAGAAGGAACCTGACCTTAGATGCAGATCCAGCCAGCAAAGACACAGTGGAGGTCCCAGCAGAAACCTACCACTTTGCTCAGAGGTTAGATACAGCACAACAGTCCAAAAGCATAAAACCCAGAGTTGCTGCCCACCATAGGAAAGGCACTTCCTGTCTCCATACCCACGTTGCCCACTCTGGCCACCCACTCCTGGCTCCTTCACACCGTATCCTTTCCTTCTCCTTCAGCGAGACCTTTGGGAGCTGTTTCTGTAGAGCTCCAGACACCATGTAATAAATTCATAACCTCACACCTCCTGAATCCCCGTGCACCACTGCTGTGAGATGACGACAGCGCTGAAAACCCAAAATGAACTGAATAACAAACACTGCTCATTTTGCCCTCCTCAATAACCTCAATTGTGTGTGGCATGAAAATAACTCTGAGCAAACACACTGCAAACAGTGGGGACACATGAGGATTCTGCTTCTGCATTTTGATGTTTAGCTTCATAGGCCAATGTTTCTTTTTTACTGAATAATCAGAGCGTACATGGAACGAAAACTAGACACCGGGGAGAGTGGGTAAGTTTGTGCATTAATCAACAGCATGTTACCTCAGAGAGACCAGTGCAAGTTGCTTGCACAAAATTATTGCAGCAAAATACCATTTTCTGATCAGACAGTCCTTTGCATCTGAAAAGCACCCGCAAAACAAAGCTTACTACATCAACTGGCACAAAGAAACTAGGGCTCGGAACAACTGCTGCTGATCTAATAAGCAGCTGATGTCTTTTTTTCCTTTATTCCTACCTCTGCTCCTGTGAAATAAATAAGAAGAAGGGGGGGGAAAGAAAGATGCGTTCCCTCTTTGGACACGTATTTGCTCCCTGGCAGCACGAACAGGCAGGTGCAGGCGAGGCCACCTGCACGCCATCAGTATTTACACTTCCATTTCCTGCATCCCAGAGCCATTAACGCAGCGAGGCAACTAAATCACAGAAAGGTCAAGTGACGCCTTTCCTCTCTGCAAGCTCAGCTCCAGAAGCCTCTGGCAGTGCGGCTGCGCAGGACGCACGGGCAGTTCAGGGGTCCTGGGCTCACAACCTGTCCCACCCACAGGGGGCAGGCAGCGTGAAGAGATCACAACTCATTGCCATCTCCATAAACAGAGTAGATGATGTTCCCGCTTTGTACGGGTGATGTGGGCCTAGCTGCAGTTCATTAAATCCCAGTTTAAATACCATCTTGGGTCGGGGATGTGATGGAAGTTGCAGTATTTCACAGTGGACAGAGGCATTATCACATTTCACGCTGGCAGCAGCGGTGCTGGAGGAGCTGCCCCATGAAGACCTCATCAACCTCTTCCTCAAGGGGCAGGAGGGCTGATTTGCCCATTGCATTTGTAATTACTGCAAAGTGTTAATCATGCCTGGTTTTATGTGTTTAACAGGCCCTACGAAGTGTGACAGGGGCCACTGAATTTGCTCTCATAATTCTATGAGCTTTGCAAAAAATATATAGGAAGTGACTGAAATACCAATTTTGGACACTGTTTCCACTAGGCAGCCAGATGGAAAAGTACAGCCCAAATTTTAATGAAACAAACCCAGGCTGGAGGCCCAACGAATTCAGCTAAATAACATCAAATAAGCCATGTGGGAAGGTGCTTTGCCCAGGAAGCTGTTAAATGCGGTAAACTCAAGGAGAGCTGAAAACACCAGACATTAACATTAATGCAAAGTCAGTGAGGCAGAATAAGGTAATAAATAAAGAGCAAAATGAGGAATCGCCTGTGTTTAACCAACTCAGCAAACCCACCATCTCCACCACTTTCCCACAGGACTGCAGAGCTCCTGATGCCCCACAGCTTCAGCACCGCAGCATCCCCTGTCCTCACACTGTGAGATCGGTGCAGAAATCTCTTTTGGGCTCTCAAGGTCCTCTTGCAACTGGTTTATCAGAGTGCAGGCCACTCCTGCTGCCGATCACAGGGGACATCTCACCTCCAGCTGAGAAGGACCTCTAAGAGGTCAGAGACTTGGGCTTTTTTCCTTGTAAACAGAGTCTTTGTTTGAATTTGCATTGGGGTGAAGTCTTTTGATTTCTGTGGTTTTGGTGTGTAACACTTTGCGGAACGGCTGCGAGGAGCAGGCACGCAGGAGCAGTTCAGTGGCCCGTGGGCTCCGTAGCCATCATTTGCTGCCCATCATCACAACCACTGCTGGCAAGTACAGGAGAGTCACAGACTCCAGCTGTCACAGCATCCATGGGAGCTGGCACGGAACCCCACCAACCTGCACAAGATGCGATCGTCCTCACAGCCCAAGCACGGCCCTCGTCTTGTGTATGAATTTGCCTGGCAGCACAGCACTAGGTACCAATTGCTGGTGGGCTCCAACAGCCCCCCACAGTACTGCTCTCCATTGGCATGGCAGTTTGTCTCATCCAAAATTCTCCCCACTTTGTGAAACCTGCAGGGCCACCACGCAGACAGACAGATGCTGTGCGGGACATGGCTCCTTCAAGGGAGACACTGAACTAATCATGGTTTGGGTTGAAAGGGACCTTAAAAATCACTGAATTCCAACCCGTCTGCCACGGGCAGGGACACCTCCCACTAGACCAGGCTGCTCAGAGCCAGTCCCTGCTCAAACCAAACCCAAATACTACACATCAAATAAGGCTTAGGCTATGAGTTGAGCTGGTTATTCACACCATGGGTGGTCTAAAAGGCCAGAGGTCTGTCCGGAGCCTCACTGGCCCATTTGGCAGGTACAGTTGAAACAAAGCGGACTCCATGGCACACGCCATCCCAGGATACGAGGCGGTGAGTACAATATCAGCCATAATTGGCTCCTGAGCTCAAATAATCAATACTATTTCCAGTGAGGGCAACAAATGTTGGCCGAAACCCAAATAAGGATTGAATTGCTGTTGCCAGAGCACTACGAAATGCTGTAAGCACTGCAAGCTGATGCTCCACACAGCACTTTCAAAATACCTTTGGGAGGATGCTGGCCAGATGATAAGCTTCCAGCTCACGGGTCTCTGAAAGCTGCCAAGGTGGCCACAGAAAGCAGGGAAGGAAAATCCCTCAGTTTACAGCCCTGACCAAAAAGTCAGCCCGACGGTGCAGGTCTGCACAACAGTGGGGAAGCGCCAACACTTTTCTACCTCTCTTTTCCACCCTGGGAACACCTCAGTCTCATGGACCCTGTACAGCTGGAGGCAAAGCACTGGGAGAGAGTCCTCCTGCTCTGGAGGAGCACGGGATAACGTGCAAAATGCTCTGAAAAAGTGCACCACCACCAGAGCTTTTTTGTTTCCCTTTTTGTACCTAATTTAAATGGGTTCAAATCTCTCACAATAGGGTTACAGTTAAGTGAAAAATGCAGTTTCACAGCAGCTACCACCTACCCACATCGATCACTGGATCAGTGCTGTGCGAAGCACTGCCAACCAGGGACCTTTCCCTTCCACCTAAAGGAAGGGAGCTGATTTCCATGGACCTCATTCCAACTTCACAGTGATCAGATACCCACTTGAGGACACCTAGAAGCTTTCAAGTGAAACTGTAGATACATGATGGATCTATTGTAGTGCTTGGAGAGAAATGAAGGCACTCAGCTGGTTTGTTTCTCTGGTGAAGTATGTCGGATCATCTCCTAAGCACTTCTCTTCACTAAGTACGCACATTTTTGCATTATAGCATTATAGGGTACTTGGGGTGATGTGCTACTCCTTGATTTGTTCTGGTACTCTGAATGAACCAATTGCTCACTCAATTCATCATCATAGGACTTAAGTCTGCAGCCACGGCTAACACCAAATGTTAACAAATAATGAAATAAAAAAATACTGTGGATTTTTTGACCAGCCTTCTGGCTTTAAATTCCTTACACTGTACTTTTTTAACTTTTTATGACTCCCTCTGCAAAAATGACAGCTAGACTCTTGCTCATATTAAAAAGATAGAGAAACAAGCTCCTGCAATAGTAGGGCTCCAATGGTCTGGCATTAAAAATAAAAGCGCTGCCAACTGCAAAATTCATGACAAATTGGGAGAGCTGTCGCCAATGCCTCTATGTGGCAGCACAGTTTA